GCCGGGACTCAAACTAGCACTGGTATGGGATGCAGTCTTTAGCACTGTTGCTCTCTCCTCTTAAGCATTTTTGTACTTTATTCCTCTGCAGTAAAGCAAAGGTAAGCAAAGGGAGCTGAGAGAAAGCTGACTGGGGTCTCAGGGTTGCCCGTCTTAAGAAATGAAGAAGGCACAGAGCGCTCTGACGTCTCAGTCTACAGTCACTGATGTCATCTGTTCAACTCATATTTCCAACTGCCTGCTTTGTGCCAGGCAATGGAAATCCAATATGAAAACAACGGAGGCCAACGCCACTGATCAATAGGCTAATCCTCTGCCTGCGGCGCCGGCACCCCGGGTTCTAGTCCCGGTAGCTCCTCTTCCAGTCCAGGTCTCTGCTGTGGCCCGGGAGTGCAGTGGAGGATGGCCCAAGTGCTTGGGCCCTGCACCCCATGGGAGATCAGGAGGAGGCACCTGGCTCCTGGCTTCAGATTGGTGCAGCGCACCAGCTGTAGCAGCCATCTGGGGGGTGAACCAACAGAAGGAAGACCTTTCTCTCTGTCTCTCTCTCTCACTGTGTAACTCTGCCTGTCAAAAAAAAAAAAAAAAACAAACAAACAAACAAAAAAACCACGGGCCCCACTCTCAAGGTGCTCCCCCATAAGACAGAAATATAACCAAGTCATGGAAAGTGTAAGGGCAAATATCAGAGGTGCAGAGAGCCACAATGACCTTCAAGTCCTGACACCTAGCTTTGAATCCAGATAATGGGACAGGTAAACCATGAAGGCTGGGAAAGTCACTTCCCCTCTTTCCACCTCCCTTCCTAACTTCCTTAGCGAGAGGACGATCCCTGACACTCGTGGCACAGGCACTCATACACCGTAGATATGTGATACGTTATTATCACTGCTCATAAATATTGGCCATTACGGGGAGATAGCAGAAGGCTACTCTACGTCTGCTAAAGGGAGCTGTGGCAAACTCTCCTGATCTGTTACCTTAAACTGACCTGGCTGCCAAGAGAGCAATATCATTCTATAGAGAGGGAATTCCATATGCACACAGACAGAGGCATGAAAGATCATGACGAGCGAGGATCAGGAGCACAATACCGAGGTAATCAGGGCGGCGCAGAGGTCCAGAGGAGCCAGCGATGCGGTGGGATGTCAGCAGGGCCGGATCGTTCCCAGGGAGGACTCTGTCCCGGGCACAACACGCAGGAACTTCAAGAAGAGGAACAACTGCTTCAGCTTTGCCTTTTTAAAGATAACTCTGGTTGCCATCGGGAGAAGGGGTTGAAGTGAGTGAGGCAACAAATGCAAGCGACTAGTTAGCAGGCTGTCACGTTCATTCCGGCTGGGCTGGCAGAGACAGCAGAAGAAATGACTGACAAGCCTTGTTGATTTAAGGGCTATTCCAGGTTGGAACCCAAAGGAGAGATTCTAGAAATGCTCATACAGATTTGCGAGCCATCTGACTAGGTGGGAGCTGCGGTCACAGACTCACTACGTCCCGCACTGCCCTCAGTTCCGGAGACGCTACCACGTGAGCTAGCCGTCCCGCGCCAGTAGACCAGTAGGGAGGGGCAAGGCTGTGACAAGCGAGTTACAGTAAGTGTGGTAAGTCGTGCCGTGACCGCGACACGCAGAACCCTTCATCCAGATTAGAGGGCAGAGGAAGCCTCCTTGACAATGTGACTTTTCCACCTTGACGTTAAGGCGGGTGCCCTTAGCTGCGGAAGAGCAAAGCAGGCATAAAGAATACATTGAAGAAAGTCCCAGAGGTGAGACAGCGTTGCCCTGGAGAACCTGAAGGAAAAACACTAGAGCCGGGAATGCAAGGGTTGGAACAGGGGAGAAGGAAGGAGCAAAGATATCTGGAGCCTACAGTCCTTGGAAAGAAACTGGGACTTCTAGATTGAGAATGCAACTGAGTCCTCGAACAGTCACGTGGCTGCATTAGGAGGAGGCTGTAGTATGGAGCCCTCTCTCTCTCTCTCTCTGCCTCTCCTTCTCTGTATAACACTTTCTTTCTTTCTTTTTTTTTTGACAGGCAGAGTGGACAGTGAGAGAGAGAGAGACAGAGAGAAAGGTCTTCCTTTGCCGTTGGTTCACCCTCCAATGGCCGCCACGGCCGGCGTGCTGCGACCGGCGCACCGCGCTGATCCGAAGGCAGGAGCCAGGTGCTTCTCCTGGTCTCCCATGTGGGTGCAGGGACCCACGCACTTGGGCCATCCTCCACTGCACTCCCGGGCCACAGCAGAGAGCTGGCCTGGAAGAGGGGCAACCGGGACAGAATCTGGCGCCCCGACCGGGACTAGAACCTGGTATGCTGGCGCCGCAAGGCGGAGGATTAGCCTAGTGAGCCACGGCACCAGCCTGTATAACACTTTCAAATAAATAAATCTTTTAAAAAAAAGAATGAAAGATTTGACATATTATATTAATCAAAATCCTTTCAAAGAGACAGAAAACACCCCAAAAAGTTCAATTAAAAATGAGGAACTCAAAGGAGCCGCTGGCCCCGCAGTGGCTGGAGCGGTGGAGTGTGGAGTAGAGTGCTGTCAAATCCCTTTTTCTATTTCTGCTCTCACCTCTGCTTGCCTCTGGAAGTTAGCTGTTCATGCTTTCTGGTCTGGTAGGGCATATGGCCTGTTGGTGACGCTGAAATCACATCTTCACAGCTTCTGATTCAGAAGAGATTCAGAACACAGGATCCCAGGAAAAGCTACGACTGGCAAGGCTTGCATCGGGCTCATGCCTGGACTCAACCCTGGGGCCACAGGGAGCGGTGCTTCGACGGTCTAAGGGACACACTCACGCTAGCGGTCAAGGAGGTCGCACGGGGCGGAGGGGAGATGCTGGCAGTCCCGGGAAGACACAGAGGCGCGGCAGGATTCAGGCAGTGGCATGACTGAGATGCTGGGGCCATTCTCTGAAACAGGAAACATGAGCATAGAAGCAGGCTGGAAAGAGACGATATGAGTTCAGATTTGTACCTGGGGAGTGTTGAAGAGTACGTAGGACATCCAATTCGAGATGCCCAGTAAGAGCCTGGTGTGTAGAAGCAGCAGCTGAGCTGGACAGAGATGTGGGAGTCATCAGCATCAACAAGTTCACCGCAGCCCTGGGACTGGATGCAATTTTCCAGGAAAAATAGAGGATGACAAAAATGGTGTTGGGGAGGAAATCTGGGGAGCATCAACATCTCAAAGAGAGAGAGAGAGAGAGAAAATAAGAAGCAGGAGGGAGAAGAAACCCAGAGGGAATAGTACTGCAGGAAGTGGGTAGCACAATGGTTGAAAGAGCTAACACACGGAGGTCAAGAAGCTGGTGAGACGGTGGAGGAGAGGAGGGCACGTGCCCGGGGCCCCCAGCAGCTTGCATCCCACCACACAGCAGGAACGCATCTGCTAACAACACAGTAGCGTGCAGTGCAGTGAGTACCACAAGGGTTCCAGGAGGGAGGCAGAGAAGAGAGTGCAAGGGGGACTGAGGTGGTCAGAAGCAGGAATTAGGTCAGTTCCTCCAACTGGGTAAGATGTGAACAGCTGGACCCTGGAGTCGGGAGGAGGAATTACAGGTTGGAGGCCGGCCCGCCCAAAGGAGGAATGACAGTAGGAAGGGTCAGGAGACACGCTCAGGTCAGGGCCTGGAACGCTAAGCTGTGAGAGCCGGTAATGAATCTGAGTTGGTAAGGAAGCCTCGGAGGTTGAATGCTCCCTAAAGAAACCATCCCGTGTCGGGTAGTCCTCCCTTCAAAGCACCCCCTTGAGAGCCATCCGTGCGGTATAAACTCCCTTCAGCTATCATGGTGTCCCGCCCTTTGTTGATTTTGTTTCAAAAAAAAACCTGAGGTGTGACTCTGACGCCTCGGGTGTCTGGAACTGTTCAGAAGCTTCCTCTAACAGGTAGTTAAGTTTTTCTTTTCTTCCATCCTATTACTTCCAGCTCCATCCCTCGGGGACCACGCGAAACAATCCCACTTCTCTTTATGTTTATGTTCTGAGGATGCTGATAGAGTTTCCACATTCCCTCTGCTTTGAGCTTGGCCAAGGTACACATGCTTAATTCTTTTAATCTCTCCTCCTGAGTCACTCCCTCTGGCCCCTTAATCATCTTAATTGCTCTTCTCTGAATGGCAGCCAGCTCCTCCTGTGCATCTTCCTGGGCAGGCCACGAGGAACATACTATTCCCCGTGTGGTCTCAGCAGACCCATATATTACCTCCCAGGTCCATCATCCCGTGGCTGGACGTGTGGAGCCGCACCCCAAGCTCTTCCCTTCCCCTCAGCGCACCCCGGCCTCCTAAAGCAAATCCCTTATCTCAACAGGTTATCGCCTGGTTTCCAGGTGGCCTGTTCCAACGCTTGGAGCCTGTGCTCACCACGTGGTTTTCCCCAAGCTCCCATCCCAGGAGGTCTCTTGCTGGGAAAGGTGGCCCAGGACCAGGGGGAGTATCTGTGGAAAATTGCGCTCAGCCCTTGGAAGAGCAGCGGCTCAGGAGTGCCCAGAATCCAGGATGCGCTGGCCTGCCGGGCCAGGACAGCGCAGCAGAAGGGGCAAGCGCGAGGCCCCAGGTCTGTTTCCAATTACTCTTTTTATCTCTGCGCTAGCCCCTCTCCTTACCTAAGTGTTTTCATAGCTCTCAGCCATTACTGTTTGGCTTTGGGAGGATAAACGCGAAACCAAACAAATGATAAATATCCTGTTTCAAGATGTGTTATCGCCCCGAGAAGAGAAACTCCCAGAAGCCTGGGTCTTCGGAAAGCTCTTTCTTTTTGACCTTTGGGGGGAGGGAAAGCACCCGTCTCGGTCCTTCTAAGGATGGGGTGGCAGAGGTTAAAGTGCCTCTGAGAAAGCCAAATGTTTGGATTGCAGGGAGGGTTGGCATGGAAACCCACCTGAGGCTTCCGCGGGTGTCTGGGGAGGAAGGAAAACCCGAGATGGATGTCCCTGTCGCAGGGGGCAGGGCAGCTCAAGGCGGGTGGCAGGTAGGGCGGCCTCGCTGGAGGAGGAAGCTGCCCTGGGGCGCAGGAAAGGGAAGCAGCGGGACAGGGGACAGGAAATGCAGAGCTGGGAATGGCCTGGCGGGGCGTGAGTTCCGGTGCCCAGAGAGACCTGGGCCGACTCAGGACGTCCCAGGGCCGGCTGGGGCGGTAACCTGCGCCTTCTCTGTGCCTCCCCACGGTGGGCCAGCTTTGCCCTGAGCTGGGCTTGCCGCGCAGGTGGTCCTAGGCTGCGCGCGGTGCTTTGGAATTCCCTAGAGGAGAAGTCTTGAGCACCTTTTCTCTTTGGGATGTTGAGGGCCAGCCACATCCCTGGCCACCCTGCCACCAATTCCTGCGGAGTTTGGGTCGTGCACGCAGTGCAGGGTTGTGCCGGAACCCACAGCTCACCCGGTTCAATTTGAGCATCCGATAAACACCCACTAATTTTGAGGGTAAGTGTGTCCCATGCAGTGTTTTTTTGTTTCCTTTGCTAAATTAAGCAACCCTAATTCAGAACGTCTTTCTGATTCTTCTAATCCAATTCCTGTCCAGACAGCAACCCTTTAAAACAGGAAAGAGGCGGGTTCTGGTGGTGCCGGCCACCAGGCACCATTTCCTGCCTCCGCTTTTGTCTCCTCTAAAATTGGTACTGTTCAGCTGCAGGCTGACCCCTCGGGTGTTTTCTGGGGGAAGTCTGACCCTCAGTGGGGAGAGTGGGGGGCGGGGGTGGAGAGCAGGGCTGCCGTAATTAAAGGTCACCTGAGGCAGCCTGGAGAACTTGCCCTGCGAGACATCATTACTTGTAGGAGCTGAAGAGCTGTTTTTTCCTTGATCCGAGGAATTTGCAAGACACGCTGTGAACCTAAGAGTTAAATAGTAATCGCCTTTTGTAAGAGGCAACTCTAACTGGGGTTTACATTTGGGATTAATAGTAAACTCTTGGGATTAATGGTAAACTCCCCGGGCCTTCCCGACAGAAGAATGTAGTTGCCCAAGTAAACAACGTTGGTCTCAGGCGTCGGGACCAGCCCTGGGAGTACGCAGTATCTTTCTAACAAGGAGCCCTTCCCCACTCTGAAGTACTTTGCAATGTGCCGGGGAAACGTTTTCCAAAAAGTAAAAAGAAAAAAAGCATATCTCAGACACCATAAAAGGGAAAACAATTCTCTTTTGAACTAATAAATACCATTTGTAGCAGAATTCCTTCAGTTTGCATCTCTGAATTATTTCCTGATAATGCTAGGCTCGGAGTGGCTAAGTGGTGCCCACTACCTAGTAAGGAAGAGTCTGGTGGAACCGTGTGGGGCTGGGGTTTACTGTGCTCTGAATGGTACGCATTCTTCTTGGGGCGTAAAACTAGAAGAACCTCCCACTGCCGGCATGGCCACGGCTTCGTGGAAGGCCCCTCAGTTCCGCCCGCCTCTCTCCCACGGCCATTGTCCCTCAGCCTTCCTGACCAGTGTGGGAGCGAACGGTCGCATTTCTCCAGGGGCCGTGGACACGAAGCGTGAGTGTGCTGAGAAGCACGGGCAACAGATTCTTTGGGAGGTCTCCGCCAGTTCCAGAGGGGCTCCCCGGAAAAAGCCGCGGCTGGGGTCCACTCCACGGGGCTCTCACTCTGCCCCCTGGTGCTGCTCATCCAGGAAGGAGTCCTCTCCACGGCAGGCCATGTTGTGAACCACTTTGGAGAATGCTGGCGACCGTTCTTTTCGTTGCCCTTTTTTTTTTTTTTAAAGATTTATTTATTTATTTGAAAGAGTTACACAGAAAGAGAAGGAGAGGCAGAGTAAGAGAGAGAGAGAAAGAGAGAGAGAGAGGTCTTCCATCCGCTGGTTCACTCCCCAAATGGCCACAACAGCAGGAGTTGGGCCAAGTGGAAGCCAGGAGCTTCTTCCAGGTCTCCCATGCAGGTGCAGGAACCCAAAGACTAGGGCCATCCTCCACCGCTTTCCCAGGCCATAGCAGAGAGCTGCATCGGAAGTGGAGCAGCCGAGACTCAAACCCGCACCCATATGGGATGCTGGCACTGCAGGTGGCCACAGCACCAGCCCCCCAACGGCTGTTTCTTATTCTCTCTGTCATGTGCTTAAGGCTTCAGGAAACACAAGTTGGGAGTCCCTTCCAATCCATCCCTTCAACAAGTGTTTGTTGATTACCTCTGTGTCCACCTCACTCTTCCCCAAGCTGTTCGGGAGGCAGACCTATGGATGAACTGTAGCCCTTGTCCTGAGAGGGGATGGCACACGCCAGTTAGCAACAGCAAAGTGCAGTGTGCCCAGTGTCTAGCGCTGTAGTTTGCACCAAGCAGATTCTCAGAACATGTTTGTGGAATCAGCTTAAGGTTGAAATATTCTGAGTGATTAACATTTTTGATGATCCATAGGCTAACTCTTTTATTAAATATCTCTTATCAGTACTACTTCAGTAATGTTGTGTACTAACCAAAGTGGTGGTTATTCATGGATGGTTACAGACCTTGAAGTATGGCAGGATGACCTTTCTTATCTTGGACTGTGATTGCCTGGTAGTGAGTCCTTTAGCCACACATGTTGTGGGAGGTAGGGGTGAGGGTGTACTGGTCCCAGGGCAGGTTTGGCAGTCTGAAGAAATTTATCTAAGTTTCCTTGTCAGGATGCCATATCTCATTGAAATCTAGGATATGACGTTTGGGGTTAGGATGGGAAGCAAGAAAAGCAGTTAGCTAGGAAATTGGCATACCCTGGGGAGCCCTGAGCTTAATGTAGCCTGGATATCCATCTCATGCAACATGCAGGGGGCTTAGGTTTGCTTGAAGAAAGTGGGGAGGCTCCGACCTTGTCTTTGGCTGGTGAGTAACAACATATTTGAGGGACCCCTAGCCAATCCACGTGGCTGGCCGCTCACTGCATAAGAGGTTTTATGGAAAAGTTTGCCTAGTGGTTGGGATAAGAAATAGTGTTGGGTGGTTAAACAGTTGGTAGACAGAGGAGGTGAATGTTGAGTCACTTCGTGGTGTGTAGTGCAGTTGAGGATTTGGAGCTAATACACCCAAATGATCAGGGACAGCTACAAGACAAGAGTGTCTGAGGGCTGAGAAGACCTGGGATGGGAGGAGTCAGGAAGAGTTGGAGAGCGAAGAGGGCCTTGGGCAGATGGAGATAACGATAATGGGCCAGGCACTATGCCCAGTGGACTGTCCATCTTCCCACATGTTGTCTCCTCTACTTTACAGATGCGGAAGCTGAGACTCAAACATGTCACCTTGCCCGGGGTCATCCTGAAAGTGAATGGCAGGGCTGAGACAAAAACACTTGCTGCAGGAAGGCGGGGGGGGGGGGGGGGGGGTAAGAAGGGTGGGTGGCAATGGTAGTTTAGTGGATAAACCATCCTTTCCTCCCCCTCGACTCTTTCAAGAGTAGATGATAATACCTGCCTTCTAAGATTGTTGGGTTGGGTAAATGAGGAGTTGTCTGTGAACCTTCCCAACCTGCTTGGTGCTCAATGGGAGGGCAGACCACATGAGGGGACAGGGGGGTGAGGGCAGACATCTCGTGCAGGGAACTGTGACATGACGAACGTGGAGCAGCAGGTAGTACATTTGGAATGGGAGAGGGACACAGTTTCTGGAAGGGCTGGAAACCTCAAATGGGAGAGTGGGGATTGATGCAGTATTAAATACTTTTAACAAAAGTTATTGTTCTTTTCTGATCTTAAGAGTAAAAAAAACTCATGAATATTTTAAAAAGAAATCCAAGAACGTGTACAGATGACAATAAAATAATCCTGCCACCCAGAGATAGCCACTTTAACCTATTGTGTATTGTCCATGATCCTAACTCTATGAAGTGCATCATAAAACGTGAAAATGTAATCCTAGCTTTATGACGTTCTACGGTACTTCAAAACGTTGCTGTGAAGATGGAATGAAAAGATATGTTTATTTTAGTGCAAAAAAGTTTTGAAATCCATACATAGTTTTTGCATAACATATAAATCATCCATGGACTTTTTGAAGACCCTTTGATGGTGTTTATATATGTATAATATATGTATACTTAAAATATTCTATATAATTAAAGTGCATAGAAGTTTTGCTTTTTTACTCATTATTGTGAACCTTTTTCCTCATCACTAGATAAATATTAGACCAAAAGTTTTTAACTTACAGGATATTAACGACGTAGAAGTACCGTAATATCTTTAACAATTTCTCTATTATTGGCTATTGAGACTGTTTCCAATCTTTCACTATTGAAAATAGCACTGTGATGAAAATCCTTATAATAAAACTTTAACCACACTTAAAAATTATTTCTTTAGGCTGACTTCCTAGAAATAGAGACACCAGGTCAAAGAGTGTAAGTGTTTTTAAGGCTCTTGAGTCACAGTGCCAGATGGCGTTCCAGAAAGGTGGAATCAGTTTATACTCCCACCAGCGTGTGTGAGCGCGCATGCTAGGGAAGCTTTGCCAACCACGAGTACTTTTTTAAGCTTTTGTCAATTTGGTAGAAGAAAGTAGTATCTTGTTTTAATTGGTATTTCTTGGATTATAAGTGAAGTGGAACGTTTTTTGTCATAGTTCCTTGGCTATTTGTATTTCTTCTTTTATGAATTTTCTTTTTTCTTCTCTGCTTTTCTAGAGGAGCCAGTCTAATGCAGACCTAATGCAAACCATGTATGTAACTTAAAATTTTCTCGTGGCTCCATTAAGCAAGTCAAATACATTTTAATAAAGTAATTTAGTAATAAAAAATCTTAATAATAAAATTGCTTGATCAAATATACTCAAGCTATTATCGTTTTAGCAATAGCCGTATTTCAAATGCTGTTGTGGCTGGTGACTCTCATTCCAGACAGTATAGACTCAGAGAACTTCCATCACAGCACAAAGTTCAACTGGGAGCACTAGCGTAGAAGCATAGTACCTTAGATATTTATTTACAGGGAACTTTATAGTTATCCTTACGTCTTTCTGATTTGTTTTAACTTCTTCCAGTCCACCATTTGCCTTTTTTTTTTTTTTTTATTTGACAGGTAGAGTTATAGACAGTGAGAGAGAGAGACAGAGAGAAAGGTCTGCCTTCCATTGGTTCACTCCCCAAATGACCGCTACAGCCGGAGCTTCGCCGATCCGAAGCCAGGAGCCAGGTGCTTCCTCCTGGTCTCCCATGCGGGTGCAAGAGCCCAAGTACTTGGCCATCCTCCACTGCCCTCCTGGGCCACAGCAGAGAGCTGGACTGAAAGAGGAGCAACTGGGACTAGAACCCGGCACCCATATGGGATGCCGGCACCGCAAGTGGAGGATTAACCAAGTGAGTCATGGGACCGGCCCCCACCATTTGCATTTTGGTTTTGTTTATTCTTTTGCATTATAAATTTTGAATTATTTTGATAAATTTATTATATATTCCCTTTCTTGTTTCTTCCAGTGCTTATAAATTATAAATTTTACAAATTTTACTTAAGGAAATACAAACTTCATGCAGTTCATAAAAACAACTTTAGGAACATAATGATTCTTCCCACCCTACCTGTCCTCCCATCTGCACTCCCACCCTTCTTCCTCCTCTCTCTCCTATTCCCATTCTTATTTTTTTACAAAGATTTATTTTCAGTTAACTTTATACTCATAAGATTAATCCTATTCTAAGTAAACAATTCAACAAATAGTAGGAATAAAAAAACAAACAAAAAATTGTTCCTTAACAGTCAGAAAATCATTCTACTTAGTGAAATAAGCCAGTCCCCAAAAGACAAATAGCATATATTCTCTCTGATCTGTGGTAACTACTAGAGCACCTAAAAGGTAATCTAAAGAAGTGAAATTGACACTTTGTGATGTGATGATCTGCCATTGCTTTTAATCATACTTATTCCCAGATTAATTTTTGCCTATATTTTCTGCTAGAATTTTAAAAAATGCTTTCATTTTAATGTAATTATTATTATTATTATTTGTTTGAAGTTTATCCTATTTTTATTTGAAAGGCAGAGAGAGAGAGAGAGAGAGAATGAGAGAGAGGGTGAGAGAGACCTTCCATTTGTTGATTCACTTTCCAAATGCCTGAAACAGCAGAGCTGAACCCAGGAGCCAGAAACGCCATCCACTCTCCTACATAGGTGGTAGGAACTCAAGCACTTGAGATGTCATCTGCCCAGCCACATCAGCAGGAAACTGGATCAGAAGTAGAGTTGGGACGCAATCCAAGAACTCTGATGTGGGATGTGAGCGTCCCAAGTGGTGGCTTAACCTGTTGTGCCACAACGCCCACCCCATTGTGATTATTTAATCCTAGGATTTGTCACATTACTTTTAAAGTGTACTTATTTTATCAAAAGGATCACAACAGTGGTATGTCCATCTGTTTCTCCTTGTAATCTTTAATAGTTTCTGTCTTATGTATTTTTTTAAAGATTTATTTATTTGAAAGGCGGAGTTTACAGAGAAAGAGAGGCAGATACAAAGAAACAGGCAGATCTTCCATCCACTGGTTCACTCCCCAAATGGCCACGATGCCAGAGCTAGGCTGATGTGAAACCAGGAGCCAGGAGCTTCTTCTGGGTCTCCCATGTAGGTGCAGGGGCCCAAGGACTTGGGCCATGTTCCTCTGCTTTCCCAGTGCATTAGCAGGGAGCTGGCCCAGAAGAGGAGCAGTCGAGACTTGAACCAGCACCCATATGGGATGCTGGCCATTGCAGGTAGCGATTTACCTGCCAGCCCCTGTCTTATGTATTTTGATGCTGTATTATTTAGTGCATAATAGTTCATGATTTTTAATACTTGCAAAGGAGTATGATTCTTCTTGTCCTTTGTAATGTTTTGGGTTTTGAAGCTACTTTGTTTGAAATTCATATTGTCATCTCTGTTTTTGACATCTACATTTGCCTAAGAAATCATTGCCCAAGCTTCAGTTTCTTTGTTTTCAAGTTTATTTAGCATATAGTTTTATAATTAGTTTTATAACTCCTATTGAATTTTAATTCTGCTAAATTGACCTTTATTCTTTTTTCTTTATTTTTTTCTTTTTTTTGACCTTTATTCTTATAATTGATCATTTTATATGACAGTTTCACCTATTTTTGAGTTCTTAGCTCTGTTTCATCACAAAGCTGATGTGTTCTTTAAGTAATTATTTTCAAATGCCTGTCTTACAGTAAGTCTTCAGTAAATAGTTTCTTCCTATGAATTATTTAGGATTTGGCTTACTGAATTGAATAGAAAAATAGTACAGCAGTTTACAAATATAAGCATCTCCGTGTGATTCTGACATGTGTCTACATCGACAGGCAGAGTGGACAGTGAGAGAGAGAGACAGAGAGAAAGGTCTTCCTTTTGCCGTTGGTTCACCCTCCAATGGCCGCCGCGGCCAGTACAGCGCACTGATCCGATGGCAGGAGCCAGGAGCCAGGTGCTTTTCCTGGTCTCCCATGGGGTGCAGGGCCCAAGCACTTGGGCCATCCTCCACTGCACTCCCTGGCCACAGCAGAGAGCTGGCCTGGAAGAGGGGCAACCAGGACAGAATCCGGCGCCCCGACCGGGACTAGAACCCGGTGTGCCGGCGCCGCTAGGCGAGGATTAGCCTAGTGAGCCGCGGCGCCGGCCTAAGCATTTCTTTTTCTTCCATGTTAAGAGTCCAAATACATGCAGTCCAAGACCGGTGTGACAATTGCACTCTAGGAAGTACTCAGAACCGAGGCCTTTTCCATCTTCTTCCCTCACATCCTAACGGTGTGGCACTTGTCCTTAGAGCCAAAACAACCGTTAAGGTGCTGGCCGGTAGAATGGAAGAATTGGAGAAATGGGAGCAAAGGGAATACACCAAGTGTTTCATAGAGAAACACATGTATCTTCTACTTCTATGTCACTAGTCAGAGCTTAATTCTTGGGGGCACTTCAGTGAAGGAGAAGCTGTGGAACAGAGTCTGTGTTCTGGGAAGCACTGATCTAGACCTTCTTACTGCAGCGGAAGGTCAGAATAGATGTGGGAGGACGGGCAGGTGGCTCTGCCACACAGCAGCCAGGCTCTGCTGGGCTCCCTGTGGCCCGGGCACACTGCATTACTGCAGGTGTGGTCTGGGCAGCCATTTTCCTAAACTCCCTGCCCTGTTAGTCTGAGAGTCACAGGCCTCAAGGCTGTAGAAAGGGAAACACTGACAAGGATATGTGGGGAACTGAAATGTGTTCCTCCAAAAAGCAGCTTGCACACAGAGCAGTAAGAACTGCCCACATGGTTGACATGGGGTAGCGGGTAAATTACAGGCTGCGATGCTAGCATCCCATATGGCCGCTGGATCAAGTCCCGGCTGATCCACTTCCAATCCAGCTCCCTGTTAATAGTCTAGGAAAAGCAGCAATAGATGGTCTAAGAACTTGGGCCCTGCTCTCCACGTGGGAGACCTGGATGAAGATCTGCATCCTAGCTCCTGGCTTTCGTTTGGCTCAGTCCTGGCCACTGTTGCCATCTGGGGAGTCAACCAGTAGATGAAAGATCTCTCTTTCTCTCTGTGTCTCCCTCTCTATATACAACTCTGATGTTTAAGTAAAGAAACAAATCTTTTTCTATAAAAAAAAAGAACTGTCCATGTTGTTAAGGTATATACTTTAATATCTTACAGGGAGCAGGAATTGAGGAGGAAATAACAACCTCTTTGTATTTTCAATTTTAAGTGGCAAAAATTTGTCAGTGTTTTGTAGTATTCCTCCATTCAGTTCCATGTGCCTTGGCTGTAGTAGACTTTCCTCCCAGCTTCAGAAATAGGATGACTATCAATCTTGTTTTCTAGCTTTTTCCTGTTCGTGGATATTTGGGCTCATGGAGGAGGCTATATTATGATTGGTTAATCAAAGCCTACATGTTTTCCTCTGTGTTAATAATTTTATTTATTTATTTGACAGGTAGAGTTACCGACAGTGAGAGAGAGAGACAGAGAGAAAGGTCTGCCTTCCGTTGGTTCACTCCCCAAATGGCCGCCATGGCTGGCGCTGCGCTGATCCGAAGCCAGGAGCCAGGAGCTTCTTCTGGGTCTCCCATGCAGGTGCAGGAGCCCAAGTACTTGGGCCATCCTCCACTGCCCTCCTGGGCCACAGTAGAAAGCTGGACTGAAAGAGGAGCAATCAGGACTAGAACCGGCGCCCATATGGGATGCTGGCGCCTCAGGCCGAGGATTAACCAAGTGAGCCACAGTGCAGGCCCAGTGTTAATAATTTTTGACCAAAAGTTGCAGTCCTGCTTTAGAAGGATGCCTGACTTCACAGAACATGTTTTGGAGACATTTAGGCAACTGCAACAATCTACACATGGGGGTCAGGGGTTGGGGGTGGGGATGGTGTGGGGTGAGACTCTTCATAGTCCAGAGTCCCTAGGAATGGAACAGAGTGTATCCACAAAGCAGTTCCTCTCAAAGGCAACTTCGGGTCTATGTAAAAAGTTTGGCATAGCAGATATAGAAGGAAAGAGTTGGCCTTAAAGCTTTTGTTCTGGGAGAGACGGAAAGAATGGGAGGGTAGGAAGACAGGACATTTTTGATCTGGGATGGGCTGAAATTGGAGGGAGAAGGATTCCACTCGTAGCAGACACCAAAGATCAGCTCATTCAGCATGCATTCAATCTCCCTTCCAGCTCGCTCCCCATAACACAGAGTTGAGAAAGCTAACCAAACTACCATTTCTCTCCACCTCCTCAGCAGCAATATAGTAAGCATGGGACCCAGGGCCCACCAATAGTTTCACTGGTGAGCTCTACTTGCAGCACTGAGTCAACAGGCCTGTGGAAGCCATCACAGTTTAATTAGGTTCAATAATAATTATGTGCTGAGACTAACTGAGTGGTAGGAATGGACATCCAAAGACAGTGAGATGGAAAAATGTGCGAGGATTTTGTGAAGGATGTATTTTGAAAGCATACAGAACTGATGAGAGGCAGTTGTAGGGCTGGCTGAGGCTGCAGGGCGTGAGTCTATAGAGGCTCTATCCATTCTATTTTGTATCTTTTTTTCACCGGGAGTAGAAGCTGATGTTGAACAACAGCTGAGGTGACCCAGGGTTAATAAAGGCCAGGGAGTGGAAACATGGGCTACTGCAATGGTATGTTGAAGAACTGACTCAGGTGGTTCCAGAAATGTGCTAGTAGATTGAGCACAGTGAATTGAGCAATTTGAAATTAAGGAAAGAGACAACAGATCTGATAGGAAAGCTGGGGAGAAAGATGGTAGTCTAAGAGGCTAGGGTCAGAGATGGGGTAGAATGCCTTCTGATGAAGAATCCAGTATATAGATATCACGGGCATGACCGAGGTGTTAGGGGAAGGTCTGT